TTGTTGTTGTGAACGGCTGACTTCCTGTTTGTTGTTGTGAACGGCTGACTTCCTGTTTTTGTGAAAGGCTGACTTCCTGTTTGTTGTTTTTAGAGGACGTCACTCCCATCCCATCGGACTCGACCAGGAGGAAGGGCGGTCGTCGTGGTCGTCGTCTGTAAACCTCTGTAAGATTTCACAATAAAAGCCTAAATAAACCCCTGACTGACTGAGTTTGTTCTGATGGAGAGCGGTCCGGGCCAATCGGACCTGATCGTAAAGGTGTGAGCCAATCAGAGGGCAGGCAGCAGGTCACATGTTTATTCATTTAATGACACAAAGGCATCTTGAAGTGTTTGGCTGGAGGTCAAAGGTCACTCCACTGCTTCCTGTTGCTCCTCCCCTTCCTGGTGTCTTGCGGAGGGGGACGTGTTGTCTCCGTCGTAGATGATGTCCTCGGGGTCCGGAGCAGGAGGACAGAACTCCTCGCCTGGAAGAATCTTCTGGAAGATGGACCGGGCCTGAAAACAGAACCAACAGCTGCTGCAGGAGCCTGGATGGGCAGAGTGGGCGGGCTCAGGCCTGTAGGGGGCGGGCTCAGGTGAGTCTCACCTGTTGGATGGAGTGTTCATGACCCAGACTAACATCTGGACCAGAACACAAGTGCACGTTGCCTGGTAGCTGGTCACCTTGGGCCTCCGGTGTCGAGCCGTCGGCCATGTTGAAGTAGAGACACCAGAGGACAAATGGACGGCCATCTTTAGAGGACGTGGACAGAGACGTGTTAATTTACAGGCTCTTTGAAAATGCTTGGAACAGGAAATTATTTAAAGTTAATTTACAGGTTAGTCCCACTGAGTCTTTACAACAGACCAGAAGACAAGACGGCAGGAGACAACAAGACGGCAGGAGACAAGACTGCAGGAGACAACAAGACGGCAGGAGACAACAAGACGGCGCGAGACGACAGAAGACGGCGCAGGAGACGACAGAAGACAAGACGGCAGGAGACAACAAAAGACGGCAGGAGACAACAAAAGACGG